CTGAGCGGACGGGAAGCCCTGTTTTCCACACCCTATGGTCGTATGTGCTAGGTACTGCAGTACAAAGGCTTATATAGAGCGCCATTTAATCAAATATTATACTGAAAGCGATGTGGTTCTGCAGGAGTGGAACAATATCCTAGCGGGTGAGCCTGTATCAAGCCTAGAGAGGCAAGCTCATATGGCACATTAACATAGCCTCGATAGCAGTTACCAGGCAGTGGGTGCCCAATTGTCTCCCAGAATGCAATGATCCTCCGGAATGGCGTGATGATTATCGATCATGGTGCTGCTAACAGTTCCCAGACAGCCCAGGTGGCCCACACCACCCGCCATCCTGCAGCATACCAAAACGGCCGGATGGTATATTCATTCTCCTGCAGCGCGCTCCACGTGTATAGCATAGCAAGACTAGCATTGTAGAATGCAAAGCAGGAGCCCACGATCCGACCAACTTTGGAGTGACGAATATGATAGTCTCGCAATAGCCAAGTGCTCAGCACATACGGGAAGAAGGAGACGCCCGTCACCCGCATCCAGAACCGAGTTAAGGGATGAGCCAGTTCGTCGCGGTTGGGTATGACAATCGGCGAAATGAACAGAAAGGCGAAAGCGTCGAATCCTTGCACCGCTAAGGCAGAGCCGTACATGAGGCGAACGGACAGAGGCTGGAAGTGATTCTGTGGCGATTAGCAGCAGGCAGTCCATATAGAAGGTAACCTACCATGATTGATGATGTCGGATTCTTTAACCTGTCATTCGGATGTTGTGTTCCTGCGTTGAACGGTTGAAGAAGTTTGCTGGAAGATTAGTGAGCATTTGAGGAGGGGTTGGATGTTGCAGCACAAATTTCCCGCTTGTCTGTCTTGCCGCCACCTCGTATATCCAGCGTGTGACCCTCGTATCCTTTCACACAGGGGTGGAAACGCACTTGTCGACCATTTTCATATAAATGCATCTTCAATATCCCAAACTAAGCTCTGTCCGGATCTGTTGATTCCGAATACGGAGGCTTATGCATTCATTAAGATGCCCACCCATGGACCCTCCCGCCGAGGTCAATGGACGGATGTTCAGTTGTAGCACTGCAGCAGTTATTGTTATACTATATAGTACGGATATATCAGATAATGACATGGTGTAAAAGTGATAGAACAACACTACTACCTAGAAAAGTGTTCTCTTGACATGTACTGTAATACAGCAGTATAGTCCACGATACTATCAAACCTTAGACCTTATGCACAATCCGAAGATCAAGATCGCCCCTATCCATTCTGTCTTCAGTATATTCACCGTATCCCGGAAAGCGCAATTTAAGCAGTTCAATCCCTTTACCAGGGACAGCACCAGCAGCAGATCCCATCTTGCACTTCGCGTCAACGAGGGTCCGGAGATCATCGGCTTCAAGAAAGACCTTGTACGGAGACTCTTCACCACTGCCGAGCTTTCGTATCGTGTACGTTAACCCATGCGAGAGCGAGTACTGGCTTACGAAAACAGTATCTCTGCGATCGTAGCCGTAATATTTTGCGCGATGCATGTAGCCGTCAAAGATATCCTGCTGTAGCTAATCCGGGTATGAGCGTTCACTGATATTGCGCAAGCTGAAAACTCAACTTACAGACTTAATGGTGAGTCTCAGGTCGCGCTTCCCCAAGTGGATATCCTCGTCACCGCAGGCTGTAAACACGTACTCGATCCCGACTTGGATCGTGCCACCAAATATCAATTCGTGGATCATAATCATCTCCCGGTTGCCCTGGTAAACCCGCTGTTCCACATAGATCCTGGGATCGGGGTGCGTCTCATCTCTCTCAGCAATGAATGCAGTCAATCTCACGTACCGACCCCTGTCATAAATCGCATCCGGGTTAAGGATCTCCGTTTCGTCTGGTACGTGCAGCATGGAGTCAGCCCCGCTGCTTGATCACTGACGGAAAAATGACCGAGTTATAGGCCTTAGGACTTCCCTACCAGTAAAAAATACTTTCCTGAACCTGTACCCCGAGACCTCATTTCGCTCACGGCTTTGATCCTGGCTCCGGGTGAATATCGTGAGGGGACAGTCCCGATTGAGACCGTATTCCTTGACCATGTTCTCGATAGGGCCCCTGCAGATCGACTTGCCGAAAATGCATTTCTGCGACGTCCTGGAATTGATCCTGCTCTGGCTCCTGGGGGGCGAGTTTGCCGGCCCCTTCATGACTCGAGTTGCTGATCTTTTGCTGTGCAAGAGAATATTGTCGTCCTCATCCACGTCGTGGATACTCGCTGGTTCCGGGGCAGTTCTCATGTTGTAGAGTTTGCAGAGGCCGTCTGTCCAGTAGCGGTAATATGCATAGAATCAACAAAGGCTCGATGGGAAAGTCAGGGAATTTATGTTCTGAGGGGTCGTGTCCAACATTAGTGCGAGTCAGGCTATTCCGGGGTTGTAACAGGGCAGTGCCAGACTAAATGCTGCAAGTGACTGCGCCGCAGAAATAACCCTGTTTGAAAATAAATACGCTATTTTGTGAACTTTTGCAAAACTTCCATACAACAGTCAAGCGTGATGTCCTCGCCAGCCTCCTCATCATCACGCAGTACATTGGCCCAGTGGTCAGGTTGGCGGAGACCAGGAAGGAAGACAATAATTAGATGCATCTCAAACTATCACTGGATCAAGTGTATACGGTTTATCCGAGGCAATGACATCTCTACTAATTGAGAGCGCGTCAATGCTGCAAGAGAAGTCAAGCAAAAAAGGTGGTAACAATATCATATAGCAAATGCGCAGGCCTGCAAGTTTTAGTCCGCTTCTATTAATATACCTACGCCTTGTGTGAATCTGATAGTCAAGAACAATTCCCATTCCCCAACCGCCACATTCTCATTGCTTGAGATACTTCGAGCGAAACGAATCCACAATCAATTCAGCAAATCCCTCCACGGTGCCGGCTTTGGCAATCGCTGTCAAGGGGAGGTTCATATTGAGATAGCGGCGGGACCAGTTGCGGAACTCCACAGTCATCAAGGAATCAATAGGCAGAGCAGCCACCTGTGCATAGTCTTGCCCGCGGGCAAAATTCGAATATTCCTGTATGCCCCTGACAACCTCCCTCACTATTTGTTTCGGCAGTGCTGGGTCTTTCAGCCGGTCCGGATTCTTTTCGAATGCCGCGAGTGCTTGTTGCAGGCCCTCTACTATGTCCAGGTTCTTCAAGAGGGGCCGTTTGTTGATGTCTAAATTGGCATAGACGCTGAATCTTGCGTCTCGTCCCCAGAGCGGGCGGACGGAGGGGTTCGCCAGAGATTCTGTGCTACTCATGCCCACGATAACATCGTTTCGGACGCGCAGAATGTCGTCGGAAGATTCATTCGCCGGCATGCTCGATGGTTGACACTCGAGCATGGCAATCTCAAATGCATCAAGCACCTCCTGTTCGCTTAGGAGGCGAACATGGGCTGCCTGCATCCTGTCTCGCAACTTCTGGTCCTGGATCGCTAAATGGCCCACCTCACCCACGGCCCCCAGATTTACGACGGAGGCGGGAAGACCGGCACGGAGTCGGTACTGGGCAAATGATGTCAAAAACGCATTGGCGGACGAGTAGTTGACCTGACCAGCATTACCCATGACGCCGGTAACAGATCCACAGACGACGAAAAATTGAAGACGGCTATCGTATCCTTTCAGTGCTTCATGAAGATTCCAAGTGCCCGCCACTTTGGCGGAGAGACCCTCCTTCCAGTCAGAGTGCGCCATATCTGGGATAAAGTGGTCCTTTGACAGGTTAGCAACCCGTTTAATCTGTCTGGTGCTGTTGGCATTGAACTTACCCGAAGGACCATTGACAGTTGCAGCACGCCTCCAATGGGCTGACTACTGCGTTGGATTGCGGCCTTGACATCGTCGCGTACTCCGACATCTCCTTGAATCATGACTGCGTTGCATCCCTGGGCCTCCAATTCACACCGGAACGCTTGATCCTGCGCGGACTTTCCCGCTGACCTAGACAGGAATATGAAGTGACGAGCGCCGCGCTCTACCATCATGGTTGCCAGAGCTCGTCCTACTCCTCCGAGACCTCCGACGAGAAGATAAGAGACATCGTCCTGCAGAGCCACCTTCAAACGTGACTTGGAAATGTCCACTTCGCTGGGGCGCTCTGGCATCTTGACCACTAATTTACCCATGTGATGCCCCAATTGCATCAGTCGGAAAGCCCTGTGGATATCAGTTGCTCCCACAACTTCAAGCGGCCGCACGGGGGTGATGCGGCCCTGTTCATATAGGGTTATGGCTTGGGCGACAAGTCTAATGCCACGCTTTCGTTAGTTTTATCAAGTTGACAGCATATTTCGGGGACGCTGTGAAACACCAGTTGGGAAATCCTCTACCTTGAAACCAAGCCTGGCTTTTCCCCAAGGCGAATTAGATCGACCCCGAAGAAGGCTCTGTTACCGCCAAACGCCTCCATGTCAAGCCTGCCGTGTTCGAGAAAGTCTCTCTTGCCGATTTCAATCATCTTACCGAATTCTGCCACGCATTTCCAGGATGCATGCAGTAGCTCCCCAGCCAGTGAGTTAAGAACGACATCAACTCCCCGGCCTTGGGTCGCACTCATCAAAGCCGGCAGAAAAGAATTGTCGCGCGAGTTGAAAATTCGCTGGCGCGGAATTCCCATATTGTGGACCAGATAGTCTGCCTTTGCTTCGCTTCCTGCCGTCGCATATATCTACACGTCAGGTTGTTAGAGTCGACTACTTTCCACGATCTATCAATCATCCAGATTCAAAGGCATACCTCGGCACCGATCATCTGGCACACTTGAATAGCGGCCAGTCCGACCCCTCCGCATGCCGCGTGGATCAATACAGACTAGACATATCAGTTGAGCTACTGCACAGTGGAGTTGAGTTTCCACGTACCTGTCCCTTCTCTAGCCTTGCAATATCCATGAGACAATAAAGTGCTGTTGGGAAAACAACAGCAATGGATGCGCCCTCTTCTAGCGACATTGACGGCGATATACACAGGCATCGTAAGGAGGGCACGATAGCCCGTGTGCGAAACAGTCCAGGCTGGGCGACAACGACTCTGTCACCAGGTTGTAACTGTGCAATGTTCTTGCCGCATCGCCGTATGATTCCACTGGCCTCAATCCCCAGCTGGCCCTTGTGCTCTAGAAACCCCATTGAAATCATTATATCCTGATGAGAAGCGTCAGTGGTAATCTCTCAATTTTTTCCCCCACAATATGATTTATTTCACATACGCGGAAATTGAGTCCAACATATTTTATATCCACCTCGACATCGTCTGGTCCCAGAGGCTGTGGTTCATCTTCACACCAACAAAGAGACTCTATCAACCCATAGGCCTTAATATCAATTTTGACAGAAGCACTTGGTAAAGGTTCCTGATAAAGTCGATCTTGCAACCGAGACCATTGGAAACGTGGAATGTATACCTGGCCCCCCTGCAATGCGAATTCGTATTCGGGATCAGGCACGCCGGTTTGGCAATCCAGCTGCGAGAAAAACTTTTCAGTGACCTTCACCAGTGCCGCTGCTGCCGAAGCATGGAACTCATCGATCTGCAACGTCCCAAAATGCAAGTCTTGTTCCTGACGGGCCGTGCGAGACACCCCAAGGGCAATCGCGAAGTCGGGATTCTGACAAGTGAGCTCGACGGATGGCGTTACCCAAAGGATCCGGGGCGCAGCCGCGACGAGCGACTGGAATGACTTCCAGCTCGTCTCACTAATATTCTTGAAGAATGGCTTTTGAACATCTAGCAGCGATACGACGCGCTGTTTGTTTGTGAAGTCAGCGCCCAGGGTGCAACGCTGGGTTTGATAGCCCATTCTCTCGAACTGTGCTTCCACATTGCAGATCCAGGCGTTATTATGGACCAGGCTCGAACAAAGAAGGTAGATGAGCTCGTTATGGTTCTTAATCGGAAGCGGCAGACGAGCAGTCAGGTTGCAGTAAGTGTGTTCGCCTTGCGTACCCTGGATTTGATCGAGTCCGACCTGCAGTAGTGTTTCCACCCATTGGTCGCGACAAGGTGATGCACCGCAGGATTCCACTTCTTGGTTATCCAGGAGACCCTGTAAGTGCTGTCAGCCGATGCATTTCAGCAAGTGGTTTTAAGAGGCAGGAATTACGTACCGTGATGTATCTCATCATAGAAAGCACTGAAAAAGGTAGCCATTAGATGACGTTTCAAGCGGCAAACGTTTCTAAGGACGAGAAGTGACTCACCAGTATTTGGTATATGAATCAGAACTCGGCCTCCGGGGACAAGAAGCCTTTTAATATTTTGAAGAGCAGTTTGCAGCTGAGAACGGGGAACGTTCGTCTGGGAAAGATGTCAGCAACCTGCACTGCCGTATGGTTCTGAAATCAACATGACAGACATTTGAAACTATAACCAAGTCATACGCTCCTTTAAAGCCTTGCTGAAAGGGATCCATAGTTATATCCAGATTCTTGAATTTCACTGCCCTGAAGACTTTGAGGCGTTCATCTACGGCTGAGCTGATATCTTTCGTGCTCGTGTATGTATACTTCGAGTAGAGTGGGAGATGCTCAGAATTGAGATGCTCAAGGACCTGACGGGATACCACTCCCTTTCCCTCAGCGATATGGAGGATCCGTAGCAACGGATTGGAGTGCCGGAGAAGGCCAAACCAGTCAGACAGATCACTCATCGAAGAAACCAAGCTTTCACACTGCCATATCTGCTCCCGTATGGCAGAAGGAAAAGCCGACGGCGGCAGCGAACCGTCCACGATATCCCGAACGGTTTCCAAGACCCAGTTACTCGGCGAGGAAACAAATCCCAAATTGTTTGTTCGGAGCTCCTCATTCAGAGCGGCCCGCTGGCGCTGTAATGCTTCATCCGAGAGCTTGAGCCACGATGCAGCTTCAGGAACCCCGCAAAAAGCTTCTCGCTGGATTTCTGCAATCTGAGTACTGATAAACTTTTGGTATTGTTCTAAAGACGGTGAAAGTGGTGTCACATCGGCAATCCGTCGATGCACCTGAATAATAGACAGTGCAGACAGTTTGGAAATCAGAGCAAAGCCAGCCTCAGTAGACTGGGAGTAGCGTAGCGGTAGCTGTTGCTCGTTCAGGAGATCAATATCAGGGCGCCATTCTGCGTGTGATGCTAAAGGAATGTCTTCCTCGTTGGCTGCCCTCACATTGCCGTCGAGCGGGGCAACCGTGACGTCCACCATTGAAAGTACTTGCTTGATAGATGCATCTTGTTGGTCCATGGCCGTCAACCGCACACTCCCGTTACCCAGTTCTGCTGTGCGATTGCTGATCGTCGCTTCCGCTCTCATGGTTTCCTGACCCAAACCGAGTTGAACCTCTCCCACAAACATGGGCACATAGAGTCTGGTCATGTGCACTGCTCTGCCCTTGCATGCAGCTACGGTGAATAATTGCAGACACTTATCGATTACCGTCGGATGGACAGCCTTGCCATCTTGGCGGCCGCGCATCGAAGCTGCAGCCACACACCTTGAAGGGTCGGCAGTGATATCTTGTAGTCCTCGGAAAGTAGGCCCATAATTTAATCCTACCCTTTCCAGCGTCCGATACCATAGCTCGGATGAAACGCGCCGAGGGAAGTCTTGTGGCACACGTAGTTCAGAATCAACCTTGTTGACGCCGGATTTCGCTCGACCAACGGCATGTCTGATCCATTCGGTCCCGTTATACGACATTATGGAGAACTCATACCATTCAGATTCTACGCGATCATTGACTCTGACGTGTCTTGCCGTTGTAACAAGTTCGATAGTGTCTGACCGTGGCAGAATCAACGGAACCTGCATGGAAAGGTTTTGAATGGTGCAGTCGTCGTTGTTCGAGAGCTGACGCATGGCTTCGTGAATCATGGAAATGTACCCGGCGCACGGAAACAAAACCTCCCTCGACACACGATGATCCAGCAGCCACGGCACGTTTCCGGTGTCCAGCACGTTCCTCCATCCCGGTTCGAGATCACTTGCCTCCAGCATTCGCGAACCCAAGAGCTCATGATTCGGAAACGCGCGAAACCTCCAGTTACGGCTCAGACGGCTTTCCTGCCAGTTTAAGCTCTTTCTGTCCCAGGGATATGCAGGCAGGTTAGTAACGATGTCTCCTTTCCCATTTATAGCCTGAAAATCCACAGTGTGCCCATGAAGATACAGCTGGCCCGCTGTCTTGAGTAGGCAGCACGTCTCGCTCTCTGACTTGATGAGGGTGGAAATATAGACACTATCACTCGACTTGTGCGTGAAAATTTGGCGGAGTGGCCCCGAAAGAACGGAATGAGATCCAATCTCGAGGAAGATCTTTCTGTGCGCAGGACTCTCGGCCAGGACACCATCCACCGCAGTCGAAAACAGAACAGGGAGTTCAAGGTTTTTCCGCCAATGCCCTGCATCGAGGGCAGCCGGGTCTGATATTACCTTGCCAGTGACAGTGGAGTACATGGGCAGCATTGACTCATTATGTTCGAGAAAGGGGGCGACTTGTGACTCGAGAAGGGCTGCGGCTGGTCGCATGTCGGCTGTTGATTTCATTAGCTATTTCTAGGTAACAAAGGGTGACAAGGAATGTCAAGCTCACGCGAATGGTACGCCACAGGTACTGGAACATATCGTATAAATGTTTCTGGCTTGTCCGCCTTGATCCTGTCTACCACTAAGGCCAACCTTGTCTTTTCCCCGGATAGGGTAACGCTCTGGAGGCTATTCTCGCATGCGACAACTACCCCTTCAGAAAGATAGGACTTGACGGACGCTTCATCCATCCCAACGGCTACCATGCCACCTGAGGAAGGAGCGTTGGACACGCATTGTCCACGTAGGTATGCTAGTATGATAGCCGTACGAAGTGAAATGGCCTTCGCCGCATACGCCGCGATCACCTCGCCGCTAGAGTGACCTACAACGGCTGACGGAGAGATTTCCCAGTCCTTGAGAAGGTTGACCAGGGCAATTTGAATGGCAGCAGAGAGTGTCTGGGAAATCTCCGGAATGTCAATTTGACTGAGCCCTGGTGGCTTTCCTAGCTGGTCTGTTATGGTTAGCTTTGGATACTTTTAACTCCATATAAGTTGATGGAAGTATGGGAATAAGAGTGAATGCGACGACTAACAATACCTTCTATACTCCATGCTGGAGGAGACTGTAGCTGTTGCAGGATCTGGTCCATGAGTTGTATATCTCGCTGAAAGCTGGGGAATGTTCGAATGAGCTCAACCCCCATTCCAGCCCACTGAGCTCCTTGTCCACTGAAGGCGAATACCAGTGAAGGGGATAGCGATGTGTTGGCAACATGGCATGATTTGGCTTCCTCATCTAGGATCTCGCCGTCACTGTTGACAATAGTAAACGACCTATGAGACAGGTGATCACGACGAACCCCAAGTGTATATGCAACGTCGGCCAGAGCCTGCGGTCTAAAAGCCAAGTAAGATTTAATTGCATTCATTCGGGCGTCCAAGGCTGTCTTGCTATGAGCGGAGCAAACCAGAAGTCGAGGAGCCAGTCCTCGCCTCGGCTCCTGTTTGGGTTCCACAGATACGATGCTTGATGCAGATTCTAGGATAGCCTTCAACAGGAGGTTAGTAGGGCGCTGCTGCATGTTGGCTTGTCTGCATGAGTTTGTTCGTGACTTACATGAGCATTAGCTCCGCCTACACCAAAGCCGTTGACACTGACTCGTTCCTTTCGGTTCTCCGGCCACGGGGTGGGCTCGACTGGAACTTTGAGTCGCGCTTCCTGGAAGGGGACTGTAGGATACGTTAGTGCTCAAAACCTAACACAACAGAAACCGACTGCCTCTTACTGTAAGGATTCGGTTGTCGGAAATGCATATTTGGGGGAATCATCCGATGCTCCAGAGCCAGAACAGCCTTAATAACGGCGGTAAGGCCAGAGGCGCCCTCGGCATGACCAAAGTTTGTTTTCACCTAGACCGGGTTAGTGGAATCCCCAAGACGGCATCAGAACATGGCTTTGTGCTAACCGATCCAATATGAACGCCGTGCGGATGGAAAGTCTGAGCAATCGCCGTAGCCTCGACCATGTCTCCCCGTCTGGTGCCCGTGCCATGGCACTCCACAAAAGCCGTTTCTGCGATGTTGTCAATCTGCGCTCGCTCGTAGGCCTTTCTAATAAGCCGCTCTTGACCGGCAATATCTGGTGCGAAAATCTTTGCCGTTCTACCGTCATAGTTGGCCGATGTGGCGCGGATAACGGCGCGGATAGGATCGCCGTCTGCTATTGCCTCTTCCAGGGTCTTAATATAGACAGCATTTACAGCTTCGCCGCGCGCATAACCATTTGCGTTCGCGTCAAATGTCTTGCACAGCCCATCAGGCGAGAGGACCATGTTGTCAGACATCGTCACGCTCATGGACGGGGTGAGAAGCATGTTGGTTCCGGCCACAATGGCGGATGAGCAGCTGCCTGTTTGAAGTGCCTGGCAGGCTTCATGGAGAGCGCTTAAAGAGGAAGAGCAAGCTGTTGCTATGGTCATGCTACACTTTCATTTAGCGAGGTACTGCGCCGAGAGGCTTTTCTTCAACGGGGGTGGCGGGACGCGATTTACCTGGGTCCCTTTAGGTCGAACTCAAATGACACCCGATTTGACAGTGCAAACCTTCCGTTGGCAAAGACATGAGTCCGAGAGATCATCTGCGTCTCCTTTGCAGTCAATTCGTGCCAGTCCTCCCCAAATACACCGACGTAGCATCCAATGTCCTTGCCGCGCCACCCGGTCTGTCCCGCATTTTCCATACACTCCCAGACAACTTCCATCAACAACCTCTGCTGAGGATCTAGTTCGCTCGTATTAAATCCCGGAATCCATTGAAGGAAATTCGTATCGGCCTTCTCCAAGTAGTCCTCCTCGAGGAAATATCCCCGCCTCGTTCTCACGGACTGAGGCTTATCCGGGTCGTAGAATGCGTCGATATTATAGCGAGTTTTGGGGACTTCGGAGGAGCAATCTTTCTGGTCGATGAGGACATCCCAGAAATCATCCGCAGTGCGTACCCCGCCAGGCAGGCGCATCCCCATCCCGACAATCGCAATCGGTGGGGGAGCGCCTGCCTTGACGGAGGCGGCTTCTGCAGTGGACGATGTCATGATATGAGCGTGCTTATTCTGAGAATATGTCAACTCAGACTGCTTTTGTTCCGGGTCCTGTTTACATTTGCGATTATTGGATGTCAAGTTTGACATTTACCGTCAATATGTGTAACAATGACTCTGTAGTCAGCAATCACAGCAGTCCTTCAGAAATTCCCCTCCAAAGTGTGACCTCGGATGCCTCGTAGATGGCTTGCGGAATCCCCGATCTGGGGAGTACAAACAAGAGCAGAGAATTGAAGAAATTGATTGTGGGAACTGATCACAGGGATGCTCTCTTGTCATTGACCCTGACGTCTCCTTTGCATGATCTGGTCATCTGGCCGTTACAGCCGTTGGGTTCTAGTAGCTGATCAGTCTGCGGGTCTCCTGGCAGATATTCATAGGTCTCCTTACATGGAGCATGAGGAATGCTGACACCTGACCTCGCCTTAAGCAAGGGGCCTCCCTTACTGCTACACATCTACACTGCACGCTATTATACATTCCTTTAAGCTAGGTGTAAACAAAATAATATGTACACAAGCATAGGAGGTAGGGGGACTAATGAATGGATATAAAGCACCCCCGCCGCGAGGGGATAGCTCTCGTAAGTACCGACGGCATCACATAAATACAAAACCTCGTAGTAGCAGACCAGCAGTAAAGCTATCCAAAATAGACTTATTTAGGCTAAAGCTATTTCAGCACTAGAAGATAAATGTATCCTATTTATAGATCTTCTAAGATAATATATACCTAGCAGCTGTTAATTATTAAGTAGAATTAGTCAATCAGCTTACAGTATTACAGCAAGTACTTAGGAGGTGTATAAAAACTTTAAACCCCTCCTTTTTCTAGGGGGCGCGGGGCCGCCTGCCACTATCTTACTAGACCCCCTAGATTATTAGTAAAAAACTAGTAAAAACGGGCAGGGATCAGAAAGACAAGATTTTAGAATGACAAAAAAATCAAAATACCATCTCCAGATGGCACACTTGATACAACCCGGACTCGGACGACTTAAGCTGAGAGCCATCAATAAAGAAAACAGAGCATTGGAACAGGCTTGGATGAGTATCAGCCGCATCCTGTTTTGAGAAAAATGTAGATCTGCACATAGTGGAATGCTCAGTTTGCTGGACGTCACCGGAGAATCCCGTATGCCATCAAGATCAAGGGCATTATAAAGAGTGCCTTCTTCGCGGTGGTAGACTCCAACCTACAAAACGTCATAACCTAGAATCCTCAGAACTATCTTTTGGGTCGGACACAATTTACTTTCGAAATGTTGCTGAAGAACCTTGCCGGCTACCTTGCTCTCGGCGCTTCCTGCGCGTTGGCAGCCACCAACATAGCGGAGGCCATCTCCGATATGGACAACCTGGCCAGGGCAATCGGAGACGCGAGGGACTCGCTGCAGAACTACAAAGGAGGCGTCTCTGGTGCCCTCGACACCGCCAGCGCCGTCAACAACGCAAAGCTCGCTGCCAGAACCGCTCGAGAGAACCTTGCTGGTAGCGACGGTTTTACTCCTGACGAAGCGGCCCAGTACTACGAGGCTTACACCAAAATGTCCCCAGTTCTACTTGATGCATTGACAGTTGCCAAGGACAAGGTACGTAGGACTCCGTGTTTGGTACACAATCTTCTGACTCTAAGCGATTACAGGCGCCTCTTTACAATGAGGCTGGAGTGGGTCCACAAGCCCGGGAGTCCGTGCAGGATTTGCACAGTGAGAAGAAGATGTTTGAGGAACAGGCAAATCAACAGATTCCCGAGGAGACGATGGGCAAGGCTGCTCCATCCATTGAGCAGATCAGCAAGGCCTTTGAGGAGGCCGAAGCTGCATTCCTGTGAGGATTTTCCTCGTCTTCTCCTTGGCGGCATTTTGGCAGGCAGGGAGGTCGAGCAGTAATACCAGTAATGGGAGGATTGCAGTGTGGGGCTCGGCTTAAGATATCTTTGCCTACCACGGTCCGTAGCTAACTTTAAATAGCTAGCTTGATTTTATGTTGAATTGACTTTTATCATGTAAGCTAAACTGTGGCTGGACTTGTCATTTGGGAGGTGCTGAAAGGGGGAGATTTAAGCCCTAAGGAATGATACACATATTTGAGTCCTGTCACTCCGGTAACAGTTCCACTTCTTGCTCAATTGATTACAGTCTACGGAGTACTGCCTTGGCTTCCAGGTTTCTCAAAGTATGCCGCTACGGCGGCCGCAATAGGGTCACCATAACAGACAGGCACGAGGCGCATACCCCTCGCGGCCGAAAACACAGTTAACCCTGCACAGATAGGGAACTTGAATATAAGTTGCTCAAGGACCTGCATAAATGTTACATCCTGAACGATTCTGCCGCCCCTCACTTTAGTCTTTCTTTTCAATTCTCACTGTCGGCTTTAGTTCATCTTTTACTGATTTCCAAACATGCGATTCGTCCTTCTTTTGACGTTTGGCCTCGCCTTCGGAGCGCCTCTCCCATTCATTACTGACAAGAGCATACGACATCGCGACGTGGTGAGTAAAATTAGTTTCTCCAACAACTGGTTGTGGACTTTCAAGAATACTGACAACCCTCCTAGGATGTAAGGATCAAATTATCAAAAAGCAGAGTCTCGACAAACTTGACTAACGAGAATGCACCCGGTTAAAGCCGGTATAAACCTTGTCTCTCGACAGTTGACTTGCACACCAGCTGACCGAGTCTGTCTAGTTTGTGCGTTGAATTAGATTATTCCACATTGAGAGATTGAATTGCTGACCGTCCGATAGGTTGTGCGTTATGTCCTCAATGGATGATCAAAACAGGCCCTTGACTAATGTGACCGAACCTCCAGGATGTATGATCAATATATCCCTTTCTTTGAGCAGCTGCTACATTTGTCAGCTCTAACAGCAATAAATCAGGTCGTAAGTAACATGGCTCTTTTTAGCATATTCTTACTCACGATATTGCGCAGCTTGTACGTAACTCCTATATACAATAGGCTTGCTAAGGCACCTGCTCACATATTTACAAAGGCTGTAAGTGGCAAGACTGGATAGGTTGACCCTAAAACTTCCCACTGACGTCTTGACTTACACAGATTGTACGTTCATCATGCGCCATTATGATCACCATGGCAATCATACATAGGTATTCGAAGACATAACTAACCGACACCTGCAGGGTGTATGATCTCTAAACACTCTGAATGCTCTGATTATCCTCTATTAACAGGCATCTAGTTTGTAAGTAGCCACCGGTTTATATGAGCTCTGGTTCGATGCTAACAGCACTTCTAGCATGTATGATCTGATTTTGGCCTCATTTGATCGTCGACTTCTGCGATGACTAACTTGTACACAAAGGATGTACGAAATCGGTTCCCAAGGCTTACAGACTGAACACCGAAACCTCTGATTGTGTCGTTAGATTGTACGGCATCTCGTCATTTGGCTACCGTTAGACCTGACTGACACAAAAATATAGCTTGTACGAAATTGACCCTCTGGCTTCTCTGGGTTATTGATGCAACAGTGCTGAACCAAAGGTTTTTAGAAAGTAAGTCACTCTAACAAGGGAACGCCAATTGCAACATTAGCTGACCGACGATGACTCTTAGGATGTACGAACTCCGATCCTAGAGGCGAAACAGCAAACTAACAGCACGAACTTCGACAGGTGGTATGTGTCTCATACTTCGATGTGGCTGATCTCCCTACACACGCTGATTACGTTGGAAAATCAAGAAAGTATGTCGTATCAATCTGCCTAATGTCACTGATCGAGTTGAGCTGACAGGGCCATAGCTTGTAGGAAAAATTCTTTCTAAGAAATACACCACCGCTCTGTCAATTAACTTGCTTGATGCGATAGAGTGTATGAACCTTGCCCCTTGCAAAAGTTGACTGAGATGTATGATGTGACTGAGACGGAATTAGTTTGTAAGCAGGTCCATTCTCCAACCGTTGGTGATAGTGCTGACTTGACATTCTAGGACGTAAGATTCATCCATGAGGCTCTTTAATCTGAATCTCACCGAACTGACAACGCCATGATTGAACAGTGTGTATGTTTATCACCCTACAGTTATGTGTTCTTGGGCTAATCATAGTCTCTCCTCGAATCGACAGTTTGTGAGTCGCTTCTCCTCTCTCTTGTAAAGATTGAATAGACACTAACATTAGGATTCCTCCAGGTTGTGAGTACATTCTATCGGGCCGTACAGCAAATCCGATTACGCTCCAGTGGTTAACTAACATGCCATCCCAGAATGTATGCTATACTGGTTGATTTCATCCTATATAAACGTGAAACATACTGACACCGATTCAGTGCCAAGAGACCGCCGCCAAACTCAAGGAGAAGGAAGGTAAAAATAAGGCTGGCACCACTCATCACTAATACGGGTAATAGGTTCCTCGACCATCCAACCAGACTCAGGCTCATCATTAGCAGTATGGAAGACCGACTTTGTGGTGCTGCAGGCACCATCATCCATCACATTGGTAAGGTAAGGTATACCTGTCGGGCCTTAGTACAGGTTTTTGCCCATAGGGTTTTCCCTGTACTCTAGTGTGAATACAAAGGCCTGAATCAAAGTATGGAATCAATCCTCTCCATTTCCAATATATTCTCATTGTATTATGCCGTATGTAATTTGTATTTGCGAGGAAAACCTATGTAGTACTACGGCTTCACCAATATCATGTAGCCCCTATCGCAAGGTCACAACTAAACAGTCACCCTTTTTTGGAATTAGAAGCATGTCAGTAGTTGAAAGCCAATTATGAACTATGTATGAGATAAGGTCCGGGGAACATCTGAGTGGCTCATGAAATATAAGCTTCTTGTGGTTTTAGTTATATTGTTACACAGAGGAGAAGAGGATAATCTATGGCTACCAACAATATTAGTCTTGTGGCTGTTCTCGTAAGTTTCATTCCTCCCTCATTCCTGCCTCCAGGACGGAGGGGGAAATATATATCTTAGCTCGGTAAACACGGGGGTGGTTCGATCACAACGCTACGATTGCCGTGGGTGCACGCAAGACCAACAGGTTTCATATCCAGAGAGCAGCCTAACATGTTTGATGCGTCTGCAAGATGACAACCTACTCTGGCACTCTTCGTCCATACTGGCTTAGCTCAGAGATAAAACATAGAACTGAATGGAGCCAATTGGTCTTACGGCTTCAATTCCTTCCTACTTAATCTAGAGACCAGTAATGTTCAGCACATACGACCATAGGGTGTGGAAAACAGGGCTTCCCGTCCGCTCAGCCGTACTTAAGCCACACGCCGGCCGGTTAGTAGTTGGGTGGGTGACCACCAGCGAATCCCGGCTGTTGTATGTTTTTTTCATCTCTTAATTAATCTATTTATTTTACTTCTCTTATGATAGGAAGTATATACTCTCAGTGGCCATTCTTCTTAGAGATCTAGATGTATGCCTCCTAGTGTAGTAGGAAACGTCTAGTCTTATCTCATGTATACTTGACCAGCCCTGTCTAATCTCTACTATATAGATAGCTAGAGGGCCCTTTTACCTAGCTTACTATATAATCTAGTTACTTATACCTATATTAGAGTTGCATAACTGAACGGCTAAAACCGAATCTAACCCTCACCGACTCGCAGTGGTTCGGTTCAGTCCCTAGATTGCAAACTCGGACCGGATTACGGGTGGGTCAGGGTCGATCCAGGGGGTCATCGTAAACCGCTAAAAACCGGTTTGCATAGTAATCACTAAATTCTTAGACATCTCTTATAATTTAAATATCACTTGATAGCTCTAGATCTAAACTATCTAAATATATAAATATCAATTCAAAATACCTAGTGGTTGCTGAGATATAAGGGAATAATCATTTCTGTCAGGGGTTGGTATGAAAGTACTGGTGGTTTACATATATGTGCATCAATCTTCTGACTATCGTTATGGTCTAAGAATGATTATTAGCCACCAATCATTCAACCTTATAGATATTAATTTGTTTTAGATCTAGATTAGTATGATTATAATTACTATATGTTTCATATAAAAATATTAATTTTCTATAGGCATAATGATAGTATGGTAGATATTATGATAGTCAATATGAGGCCGAAATTCAAAAACCACTGGAATTTGGTTATTGCTAGGCCCCCCGCCGCCTACCTAGAGAGGCTAGTGACTGCCTATCTAGGCCTCGTGGCGGTCTTTGCGCTTAAACTCGAACCAAATCGGAACGGATCAGGTTAAGAGCATTGGATTCATTTAATTTTGCATGTTGCCAAATATAGACTTATGCATGAAATGGCGCTTTGGCGTTAGGTGAGGTGTAAGGTCGTCTACAGGTAAATAAGGTTTCGACTCATACTGTACAGCTAGGGCTATGTGGACATTAATCCAAACCCTCCCCTGAGTCTCCCTGTCTCTTCCGCATTCCTCAAGCCAGCTCTTGATCTTACCAACAAACCAGCGAGCTGCACCAACTTTCACGCCTTGGATGATGAAAATCTTCAAGTCCTGTCCTTATGGATCTGCCTCATACCCAGACAGTTTTCCAATGCCACTTTGCGGGCCATGTCCATCTGTTCCTTGAAAGTATCGCGACTACCACGGGATTCTTGCCAGGCCGTGTACTCATCGATGTCTATGTCAAGCGGCCCGGTATATCAATAGGCCCACAAGTGACGCTCGAAGACGCGTTATTGCTCATCGGTGAGGGGTGGAATGACTTTGACAGGAGGGCATTAATGTAGATTGGCGGCCGCATTGTTCCACAGTTCTGGGCCCCTTTCTGTTTCTCAAGGCGTTGTTCCTCCTCGTCGTACAATTGATGACGAATATCTTCCGGAACGTCATCGTGGGGCTTTAATTCGTCACCACCGAACACAGCAATAGAGCGCATGTTCCAGATGAGTAGCGTCATTCAGCTGCCCCTCTCATTGCTTTTTGAGGCTCAGGTCTCTCTCAAGCTGGATGTGCGTTTGGAATAAGGACGGAGCCTAGGGCCATAGCTATGCTACAAGCCTATTACAGACGATATGCAAGAGCTCTAGATGGGCATAACAGCTCTTATTAAAAGGGTGAAGGTAAGTATATCACAGAACACATGGACTATAGCAGCACTAAATAAGGGAGAGAGTAGCTATAGCTGGGCAACATAACATAAGCAAAATATTCTGATGGTGCATCACATTATGTAGGGTGTGTACTAACAGAAGATTCCAGCAGTGAAGCAATTGTTTTAGAATAGGAAGTATTTTAGCAGTGATTGACTTGCCTCTGCGCTGATGGCAAGACTCGACCCGAGCCCACGTGTCTTCTGAGTCCACGAGATGCAGCGGCCAACTTGCTTGATGGATCATTGCCATGCAGTAGTTATGTTTCAACTGGAAGATAGGTTTAAATTTCCCAGCTTAAATAATCTCAGTACCCTTAGCTTAGAATCAGGGTTTCTAGTCCAAGTGCTTAATTGGGTGTATCAATTATCTCAATAGAATATAGTAACTGTAGCTCGAGTGGCATTTATTTAGTGACTATGTAGCTGTGTTCAATCTCACTGTTTTTCCGTTGAGAAGGCCTTTCTTGCTGCTGCATGGGAAATAGCAAGACAGATTAGCCCTAAGTTAATTTACCAAACTGTGTTTCTATGGGCTTCAGGGGCGTTTTTGGGAGTCGGCTGCTATTTAAAAGGCCTCATAATGGATCCTAATCAGTGTTCCTGTATGGAGAAAAGATGCCTCCATGACAATAAGTTCAGCTCCGGCCGTTAGCTGCTCGCCCGCCCACTCACACCAACCAAGAGCCTACCCTGGCGGCGTTAACCGTATACGCCATATCTTATACAACGCTTCTGTATTATGTGCTTTGATGGAGCAAACAAAACGGAGTTGTACACAATAGTAGCAAAGGAGAGACCCACAGTTACTATAATAGCCGGAATGGGAAGACCCTTTCGCAGGCATGAAACGTGCCACTGACTAGACTAAATATAGTAGGTAAATCCAGCCAGAAGACGCTGGGGCTATTTTCCAAGGGAAGTTCAGCTGTGTCGTATCGCTGAGAGTGCCAAAGCCCAACTGGCGGGAACTGCTCGTAAGGGACTCTTCGGTTGGTGGATGACATATTGCGCTCAGAGCTTGTGGTTTCACTAAGCATGTGTCTGAATGGAAATGTTTAGCACTCTAGCGTTGAATTTGGAGGGAGGGTAGTTTGTTTAGTAATAAGGTCAAGGATGCAATGACACGTATGCGACCTAAATATATCGGTCGATTTGCTGAGGATGGTCAGCCGACGATTAAACTGTCGTGAGCTCGAAACGCGCAAATACGAACTTGGGTATATGCCTTCACAATGGACATACTGAAGTCATTATAGAGCGACAGAATGCCACTAAAGGATAGTGGCTCTGGAACTGCAATTTGATAGCATTCTGTGAACCAAGAGAATTTACTGATGTCTTTTGAGCGAGTGAGGGATATTGTCAGCCAGCAGCGTTACATGCAGCCAACGTAATCCTACCATGCAGATTTGCCCCTTAAGTGTGTGGCACTTAAGAGGGGGAATTATAGTCCAGATAGCAGAGATAAACCCCCGAAATCTCTTTCAACACCCACCAATTATCTTCATCCAAGTGGCTGCCCAGCGTTCGGTTGAGTCCCTTGTAGGAACCTGAACGGACCTGATTCTTCATTGGAAACCCTGACACTAACAATCTCGCTGGGTATAGCCGAAAGTTTAACCTGATATAACGTGAAACTGACATCAGTGTTCACGATTTGAGTCGTCTAGATTCCTGGTAAATGTCTTGTGCAAAATGACAGCATTCGTGCCAGAGACCATCCGAGAGCGGGGAGAAAACGCTCGGTTCGAAATATTCGAAACAAGCGCCGCCATCCTCCAGGTCCGTCCCTTAACAGCCCCTCCCATAGCGCTACCAACGCTCATATAGTCCAGCGGGCTGGCTGGCGACTACTCAATCCGCAGATTCGACGCATCGCCGATGAAGAGGAATGCCATGCCTTTATCAGATCGCCTCTGCCGGTATGGGCTCTCCAGGGAACAGATGTTCAAAGTAACCAATAATGGACCGCCAGACCGACAAACGCATAAACATGATCGAATGTAGGCTTAGGGTGCTGTGAGTCCTTACCCTGTCCCCCTCAACCAGTCGACGAGACCTAAGCATGGAGCTCGACAAAAAGCTGTGTCTACCTTGACCACAGAGACCAAGTCACGAGTTATAAGTCCCTGCTCAAAATTGCAGAAGATTCCGCATGGATATACAATGGTTTTACCAGTCTGGTCGCTAAGGGAACGACCGGGTCGACGACGTGCTCTGGTGCCGTTGGCAAAATTAGTAACAATCACCGCGCGAATCATCCCCTTCTTTGTTCAGATGGGAGGAAAAGAGGGAAAACGCTGACCGGTACTAACGCAATAAACAGGCCTATTCCTCCAGACCCCCCGAGATAGCATGCCATTCCTCGCCTTTTCATTGACTGAGGTTCCCGCTGAAGCGCGCAAACAGGGATCCGACTGGGTCTGTCTGGTCTTTCTTACGGCGGAAATCGAGCTAAAAGCGCTTCTCCACGAGTCCTCCTTCCCCACTGACTATAGCCCCTTGTCTCCAGACTTTATGCATCTCCCTGTGCGAATCTTAGAGGATCAAGTCGAGTTGGTACGAGACGGGCTACGCGGTCCCGCAGAGGCGCTCGTCCAAGAAGAAGAGAGCATCCTGCAAATGAGGATGAAGCTAGATGACTTTGGCCGCGCTAGACGGGTGCTGTTTGACGTCGAGAAAAGGGTGAGGGAGCTCCGCGACCGATGGCGGTTTGCGCAGGAGCTGGGCGACAGTCTGATGCGGTGTTTTGGAGAGCTCGTTGTTGTCAGCGTCACCTGTCCTACAGCTGTTGCAGGCCGTGCTGGAAAGACCGGTCAAGTCTCCTACTCTAAAACGCTTTTAAACAGAGTAGAGACACAGATTGCCATTGCGGGGATGCTACGGATTGAATTCGACTCCATTTCCTCGGCTATAAAGGAACAGCATCGAAAGGTGGGTACACATGCGTGTGCTTGCTCTATATTCTGGATTTTTTTTGTTTTTTGGCACACTGAGCTGACCTGCATGGTTGGACTAGATTGAAGCAGAATTGAATCTGATTGTTGGTCTTTGTCTAAAGCACTGGCGTCAAATAGGTAGATATCTAATGAGCGCTGCCAGATTGCGCATAACTCCTACGTGTCCGCCGAAGAGGCTCGACGTGATGGATCGTCGATGAAGACGATTGCGGCGATCACCTTGATTTTCCTCCCCGCTACTACAGTGGCCGTATGTCTCCGTATCTTCTTTTTAACACTTGCGTATCTGATTATGGATAGTCAATCTTCAGCATGTCAATGTTCAACTGGAGTGGGGAAGATGACCAGCCGGTTATCACTCATCGATTTTGGGTGTACATTATCGCTGCTATTGGGCTCACGGTCATAGTGGTGGCCCTTTGGCTTCTGTGGTTTACGAGAAGTCAACGCGAGAATAACACACGGGATTTGCCTTTGAGATACATTGGCCCGGCCTTGTCAGGAGCCCGAGAGCCGGTTTAACACGCAGGGTTAGATGCCTTTGGGCGATTCTGATGATAACGGAATACCTAGGTACCTAATAGAGTCGTTTATTACGCAGCTGCTGATGAATAGCCTCATGTCTGTAATCCTGCGCGATATACGGCGTAGCCGTCTGGCAATATATTGGGATATGCGCCCACCATCACACGATCAATATCCTTCCACCTCTCGGCCAAATCCATCCAAGGCACAAGAAAGGGACTCGTCCTTTGTTTTTCATCTCTCTCCCCCAACCGCCATTGCTTCCTAAGGCGCTCCGCATTCCACCGCTCATGCTCACGTTCAGCCAAGAGCTCCAGCTCATGCGGGTCAAGCTCTGTCACTGGGGAGCGGTGATTCTCTGTTTTTGACATGAAGCAGCGAATGAGGCGCAGCTTGCGTGGTATATCCGCGGCATGAGCACGGGCGGATTCTTTGAACTCCTCATCAAGAAAGTCCCATGAACTGAGCGACCTCTGTGATTCTAGATCTCTCCTCTCCTGCTGTGTTTCGGCCATCAACACCCTGTGCGCGGCATACGTTTCGTGGAGACGCTTTGCGATGGAGTTGCAGACTTCATCCGAAAGCATATTGTACTGTGCGCACCGCGCAAAGGTAGCATAGTCCAGATGTAGACCCAGCTGCCCCTCTGTCGGCAGCGATGCGCGCTCAAAGTGATGCTTCCCAGAAAGGTTACTCATCGTAATGATGGATATGAGTGAGCGATATCCGTTCCGATACGTGGGAGTCAGGAGGAGTCCATCAAGCACACTTTCGTCGATTGACATTTTTCCTGATGCCTGCAATGCTGGGGCTCTTTGCTCCAGGATATGGCGCAAAGCGATTGCGCGCCGCACAGGATAAAGCGTGTCGGTCTCATCTAGACGGTCAAAGCCACGAATATCGACATACCCATGGAGACAACTGACAAGATCCTGCATTTTCGTGGTGCTTCTCTCTCCGTACGTCTCGCGGAAGGATTCATTTCGCAAGTCGTCCAGACGTCTCGCCGTGTTGGAGCTAAGAAGGAATATTGCAGGACCTGTGTGTCGCATCTCACCACGGTCGAGGAACCTGCCTGTGAGCAGCGGCGGCAAGAGGTAGTCGAGCCACCCGACTGGTACATCTGCGTGGTGACCATCGAATCCATCGAGATATACTAGTGGCAGCCGACCCGAGAGGGTGCTGTCCCGGACAGCGTTGAGTGTGTTGACTAGGTCCTCGACCTTTGATGCCCGTGACAGATGGATTTTGAACTGCTGCACCTCACGGCCGCATACCGCGGCAGCGGATGTTGCAACCTGCACAGCAGCGAACGATTTGCCGCTACCACGAGCGCCGAAGATTCCAAGATTCAACGGCTTGGTCTGTTCAGATGACATGTACATGATAATCGCATTGAATATCGCACGGTAGGCTTCGATCTCGGCCCGGTCCATAACCGTGAGCTCTCCAAATCGCGCAATGGGAATCCAATTCGCGGCCGAGAGCACTCCGTCAATGACGATATGATGCGCCATCAGCACTGGGTCTCCAACGTTCTGCTGCAGGATCGACCACCCCCCGGTTTTGCCTTGGGAGATACTCTCCGCGGGAATAGACATAGTAATGAGATTGCCCCCGTCCGATCCAAGATCCTTATATCTCCCCATGACTTCCGAGATAGGGTACTTTGGCCGATCGTCAGCCTGGCTGTTTCTATATTTCAGTTCCGTGAACCGTCGAGCCCCAAGAAGACCGCGTCGAATCGCACCCTCGAGGGATGATCCATCAGATGACTGCACAATCTCCGCCGTCAAATTAGCAACAAATACCTCCACCACTCCGGGCATATGCCCACCATGGCATCTCTCGAAGCTTCCTTCCTCACTCCGAGGGTCGAAAAATAAGATCGGCTCGGTCATCTGTCGACCACGATGATAGATCACACCATCGCAGCCTAACAAGACTATGAGATGCGCACAAGTCACTAACGTGTCCAGTTGACCATTGGAACCTAGGTTCTCTACAAAGTCCTCGCAGATCTTCTCCCACGACGTGCTGTAGCACAGTTCCACCCCGTCCGCGCGGAGATCCTCTGCACTAACGACAACAATCATCTTGTCTGCGGGGAGCTTTCTGCCCCCATAGCCATCGGGCATGGGCAAAGGGCGGACCACATCCCAGACCCTGCCCCTCCCAAGGGGAGAGACCATGCGGTATATGACTGTCTCTGCATGCAGTAGTTGCAGGAAATCAACTGCGTCCCCGCAGTTCGTAAACTCTGCGTCGGCGTCCTGTAGAACCATTGCGGCTACCCGATCATCTTTGGTAGGCACTATGGCTGGGGGGTGCCATACCGGCGGTGTAAAGGTTGCCTGGGCATGTTTGACCCTGAACCGCCGTCCGTCCTTGCCACTCACCAGTTCCAGCTCTGTAATCGAATTGAGGTGTAGATGGTCTTCTGTTGTGGCATAAGGTGCTGGGCCATGGACAGCATGGGTGGTCTTGTCCACTGCTGTCTCTAGGAGGTGGGTTATCAATCTTGCTCCGCGATCAACTTCATGGGTCATGGATGTTTGTCTGCCGTGCTGAGTGACCGAGCTCTGGGCTGGGTAAAGGAGGAGGTCGCGGGGTGAATCCCCGGCCACGACAATTAGTCTTGTCATGAATGATGTATTTTCCTGGCTTGCTAGAGACGATGTGTTATCAGTTAACTGACTATTTACGGCCTGGGACGTCTGACAGATCAGGCTCGATGGTCGGCAGCAGGAGAGTCAACAGAGGGATGGTTGTAAGGGAACACCTGGCTGGCTCCGACGGAAACCACGTCTCTTGTGGCTTGCAGCAATACAGCCAATCCGAACAGGTTTATGTCCTAACCTGTAAGCAAATTACGGCACGCCACTATCCTATCTTTGCACACTACCCCGCCCCGTACGCCGGCCATTTGCTGGCTGCTGCCTTGCAATAAAGCATTTAGCCCCCTAGAACATTGGTATGTGTCAGTTAGCCCGGCTTTAATTGTCCAGGCCTGGCTTTTTTCTAAGAACGCGCAGATATATTACTATGAGAAAGACAAAGTCGGTTACTCGCATGCAGTAGCTTTGGGACTTACGAAATAGCACTGTGGCTCTACTCTGGCACACCTTAACAGCCGTAAAGAACCTACTGCAGAAAATAGGCGTATTCACATGCTAGTCCATAGCCTTATGTGCTCAGATGACTTTTTATCCTTGCCAAATACAACGCGGTGTATGTATGCGCATCTCGTTTTATTTGGCTAAACTTTTAGGAACGTCTATCCAATCCCACTGCGTATACACCAACTGTGTCTACCGATATAAGATCCTGAATATTAACACTAAGCAGTTCCGGAAGTAAAGAAAAATCCATTAATTTTGTAACTGAGTGGGTGAAGGACAAGATACAGTGTCTTACATGTGTTCCCATGCTGTCAGTATTCAATAGCCAGTTTAGGTGTTGGCAAATTACGTAGACTCAGGCTACTAGCACGACCACTCTTTTCTGTTTACATACCAATGCATACTGTATTACATTCAATTAATGCGTCCTAAGCGACGCTAATTACGTTGTGTTGAAGGGATCTTGAGAACAGCTCGTCTGCCCTTGTGGGAGTCCTGTCAGCCTGTCCCATATGAGAAAATCCACTGTAGGAAGTTAGAACACTCCGTTATTGTTTTCAGTCTGGCGTGTGTTTGAGCTAGGCCTTATTAGGACATTATGTGAAATAAGCAGTATATATAGCGTCTTGACACCTCAAAAGAGGGGCAGATGCAAATAAGACACCACATCTACCGAAATCAGAAGAATACATCTGATTGGGGAAAACTGCCATAATTCTGACATCTCAGTGGGCCCCGTATCGATATGAGATATCCGCTCCTTAAAGACCCATCGCGGGATCTGCGTCTCGTTCTGTTGAGGAGTGTCCAATTCGTGGAGAAAAGCGGCTGTTTCTTCAATGGAAAGCCGATAGAGATCATCTGTGAGATACATTCCTTCTCACACGAGGAGAAGCCAGAATATTTTGCACTGTCATACCCCTGGAAAGGGAGATACCTTTACAACCAGATAAGCCGCTATATTCTGGTCAATGGACTGGTCGCCAAAATTGGGGAAAATCTTGCACTCGCCTTATGGACCCTACGTGGCGAAAGCGCTGATATCTACATATGGGCTGATGCTCTATGCATTAACCAGAAGGATGAGAGCGAGATGGACCTGCATATCAAGCGAATGCATGAGATCTATTCCCAGGCAACCGAAACCAAAGTCTGGCTTGGAGTGATGTACTTTACTCTTGATATTGATAAAAATGATAAAGTGGTAAAGTTGATTCGCGAATTTGGCACGCAGGCTATCGAGACGGGATGCTATGATGCCCTATTGGCCATGCGCACCGCGGCCAAGCGCGGCGCGGACTCTGAGGCTCGGATGTGGCAGGATAGGGCCAACGCCTTGGTCGACCAAGTTTTGGACAGCAATGAATGGAGCTATGACTTTCCATACAAGATTTTGGATTTCTGCGACATTTACTACTGGTCGAGAGTTTGGATTCTCCAGGAAATATCTCTCTCTTCGCGTCTCGACTTCCTATACGGCCTTTCGAGAAGAACCCTTTCCCCAGAGCATATCCAAGCCGCAGTTGTTCTGTTCGAGGTTGCACAGAGCAGGGCGGCTTCAGGGCAGAACACCGGTAGGATGGACTTTTCCGACAGAGGACTACGCGGTTTTAGACTCAGCAAGTTCGGGATCCCACTACCTATAGACCGCTCTCCCATAAACACTGTCTTAGGTCTGCGAAGCAGATACCAGGACTCTCCCAGGGGAGGTCTTTCCTTAATGGAGCTACTCTCTATAATCTATGTCGACTATAGTGTGACATCCCCGATAGAGTTCACTGAGCCGAAAGACAGTATCTTCGCATTGCTGAGTTTGGCAAAAGATGCCTCTCATTTCCGGGACGTGCTTCAATATACCATGAGCCTGAATGAGATATTCCGTGAAACAGCTCGCGTCATCATACGGAATGGCCAAATTGACCTCCTCTCATACTGCTGGACACCCAGTGAGAGGAGAAGAGAGCGAGAGACCCCTGACCGTCTAGGTCCTAGCTGGGTTCCTGACTGGGCCTCTTATGTTCGACGACCAGTTTGCGGATTGCCTCCGAAGACAGCGTTTGCATCATCTGGCAGTGGGCCTTTCCCAAGTATGCCTGTCCCAGAGAATCGAACACCCCAACATTTAGCATTGCAAGGGATGCTAGTTGACAAAATTGAGACTGTTGGGGAACCTCTCCACTCGGATCACTATGCTAATACGTATTGGGATTACATCAATGCACGGCGGATGCTTCATTATTTAGTTGAGATTTTGCAGTTCTCTCGACAGTCTAATGAGAAGAATAGTGAATCTGACCATGATATCTACATGACGCAGTCAGATCGCTCGTCAGTTCCCTACCTGACTCCGGTGGCTGACAGGCTGATCTCTGAACAAGGAGATCGCTTCGGACGCGATAAAGCCCGTGAATGTTTGGAAAAAGGATTTGTGGAAATTTTGGCTTACTTGGACGAGCATGTGCGGAGCGAAGGGAAATTGAGAGATGGCCAGGTATTGAGTGAGGAGCTAATAACGTACTTTCAATCCATGGTGGACGCCAACGAAACTTCTCCTTTACTCTCTGTACAGGGTTATGTCGGGATCTCAGAGGGTTGTGAGCCTGGTGATCAAATATATTTGTTTGCTGGTGCCAAGTTTCCCTATATTCTACGAGAAGTGAAGGACGTACAGGGAGCAGAGGACAAGAAGGTGTTTCAATTAGTTGGGCCGGCGTATGTCCATGGCATTATGTATGGAGAATTCTTGCTGGGAGACAGAGCGAGGGCATGGAAGGAGGTGACTTTGGCATGAGGATAAATTCCCAAATTGTCTGCACTAGACTACTTGCACAATTTTGCGGTTGGTTTCATTGCTAAGGACGCTGAATGCAGCACTTTTGTTAACATGCTTTCTATGGCCCGAGAAAAGCCGAAGTAACTCAGGCACTGAACTCGAAGATCAAGTAAAATTTCCAAAACGCTGAGGCTCATAATCAGCCACTCTACTAGCAAAAGAGAAAGACAGCGTCGTACAGAGGACGAGCTCAGCTGTCGGCTCCTGTCAGACAATAGCTCGTAGCTTTCAAATTCGGAGTATGAATGGAATGAAATACGATGCGATCAAACGGCAGTGTTTTTCTTCGTGCATCTTAAAGGGCGAGTGGCTGACATGGCAGGGATAGGCCCAGGCTTCGAGCCTAACCAGGGCAGGTGGACTTATGCCGGTTCTGCGATCGATTGGTTGTGAAACGAGTTCATGCATGCGGGACGTCGAACGACCTTGTACAACGGACCGGTCACTCCCAATTTCAATTAACCCGCTGCATGGGAGCATACCAAACTATATCAAGTCGTCTGTATGTTTTAGAATACCCCCACTAGGGAGCCGGTACACTTCTCATCTGGACAGGGTGAAAAACACCCCCGCGAGAAAGTAGACCCCGCGTCAGAACCTAACTAATCTGAGGCATTCTTCATGGTCGGGCATGCTGTTGGCTGAGAGGATCTCGCCAACAATAAGGATGGCAACAAGCACACCCACGCAGACGAACGAGCATACAGTCCCATAACGACGGCCATACTCAGCAGTCTCCAAGATTTGGGCGGCGCAGACAGGGGCCAAACTGATGGCTGAGCCACTCCAGAAGCCAGATAGGATGGCATACGCGATGATGGCGGCGTTATATTGTGAGGGTGTACAGAGCGCAGATGAAAGTAGTTATGATTGTGACTTTGAACCGATCGAAACGGTCGGCGAAATAGCCTGGAACCGCACGACCAAAGATGGAAGCCGCATTAAGGATGGAGGCGAGTTGGTAGGAGTGTAGTAAACTCGCTTGGTATCTGAGGGAGTGGACATAAATTGGTGTCGGTGTTAGGTTTCTCATGCTCTAGCTATATATAACAGATGATTAGGAAGAACGGCTCATTGGCAGACAACAGTCTTACTTCATTCATAATGGGCTGTGTCTGGTGTCTATCCAAAGGAAGATTGATAACTCATAGCGAAGACCTCGTTCGTTCCACTGCAATTCATCAATAATCGGGACGTCGTTGAGTTGTGAGAAGGAGTGCAATGCTCGGGATTACTCTCTGGCTGTATGACTGCATCCCCTTCCAGGACGAGGTTGTCATCTACCTCCGCCAGGGTATTATCAAGTAGATTGATTTCTTCTTTCTTGCGATACCCGTGGATAGTTAGAAAAATACGGGGGGCTAGAAACGCCTCGCTTGCAGGAGATGTCCCGTATTTCTCGGCAACAGATTTGATGTTGCGCAAGCAAGACTTCAGGCGTCCAAAAGAGCCTTGGGTGTCGATAGCGAGAAGAGCACAAACTGCCTGAAAGGGAACATTTGCGACATGCCACCAAGGAGAGCCGATGCGAAGCAGTTCTTCGGCCGTATCAATACCCTTATCCACCAATCCTAGGAGATGCTCAATGAGCTCGGCTGGAATCTTGTGTCCCAAAACCCACAGATTGCACAAGGCGAGACATAGAATGGCGCGGCTGGAGGTTACAGGCTGCTATAAGCTGGGTCTGTAGCTTAGCTACATCCCTGAATTTGCTTGGACTGAGTAATTCAGAGACACGACGAATAGCGGTCAAATCTTCCGACCATCCAGTGATCGGCAAGATGCAGGAGCCTCCCGGTAATTCGAATTTTGACCTGCCACAGTCATAGGAAATCCATGAGTTGAATAATTGAGATATGCCATATATCTTTCTTCGCTGCTCAGGCTCGCAGGCCTCGCCTAGTGACGAGAGAATCGTACCGTCTGATGGCTCAAGATGTAGCCCTGTTGTCTCATTCATGTGCATAAGTGTACAACTGGCCATCCAGCATACGTAGTGTCAGGACGAAGGCCCTGATTCGACCGTCACGGTATGTTACGAGAGCCGTCGTTAGATCCCATCGCCATTAGACAGGCTAATGGACCAGTATGTATGGGGCTTTCTGGTGATGGTCGTTTCCCTCTCGTCACGAGACGACCCACGAAAGGAAAGTCGCCTTATTGAGAATTTGAGCTTTTTATTCCTCCGTCTTAGCCAATCCACCCGGTCAGTAAATGGGACCTGGGAAGAGGTCCATGCCCTATGCGGGAGAGAATGGTGCTTTGGGGGTGGTCTTAATCTTCGGCACGATTCTTATGTGCGTTCAGGCGCCAAGTCCAATTGCCGGCCATCGGTCTGGAGGCGGGGGAGGATAAAGGAGCCATGGTCAGGCTGGTTGGAAGCCATAAACCTAGTAATCAGTCAAGAATTGTTTACATAGCAGACAAAGGGGCGTTGTCGACGGTCAGTTCGCAACTATCCCAATGCGCGGACAGAGGCCGAAGTAGCATCCGGACCATTACATTAGTTTGTGTGGCTTGCAAGGATATGCAACCTGCCACATTGTTCCTAGGTTGACTACTTTAGCACATTGGAAGGATCATCGGTTCTGCTCGTAAGAATATTAACAATAAATGAGGACGGGCGGCTCAAGGTCCCCTCCGGCAGCAGTAGGTGCCGTGTTATTGGGATGGCAGCGCTTAGTGAGCAATCTGCTTCCGAAACAGATATAGCTGGAAGACTAGTTCGGCCATCCCCGATATCAGGAGGTCTACCGTTTCCGTCGAAATCCACGTCCTACCATAGCGCGGGACAACCATCGATGCCACCAGGCGACGCGAGTCAGTTTCCCCACATCTACGAGTAAGGATAGCTAGCACCCACTCGGCCCCCGAGAGCCCTGGTCAAGAATCTGAGGGTGCAGATGCGTCCCCTGCAACAAAACCGGTTACTGGGCTCTCAAACTACCGGTGAAGAGAAGCAGATCTTCTGCCTCCCTCGTATCACCTTTGAGTTCGGACCGCGTTGTGCGAATTGGACAGTCCGCCGTGGCCAGTTCCCACTCTGCCTAGCATATGCAACAACTTTCAACAGTTTCCAGGGCCTGAAACTAGACCCTGTCGGGCGCAATTCTACCATGGCAGTATTTGCACTTGGCCAGCTCTACATTAGCCTGTCTCCCACCCGGAGTGGAGCTGAAATCCAAATCCTCCAGAACCCTTGGAGACAACGCTCAGAGTTGTCCACCGCGGCCTACCCCTTCCCGTATGACTGGTCCTTCTACTGCATAAAGGATATTGCCGTACATCACAAGAAAACGGCCGTCGTATTGCACTTCAGTATAAGTGGATAGATACACCATGTATGAAGAATGAACCATGTGCAACCGGCAGACGTAAGGCCTTATGGCCGCCGCCAACGCAACTTGTAGGATTACAACAGTGGCCAAAATGGTCTTAGGTTCTCGTTACCGAGCGCCCTTCCTCTAGTTCTAGATACGAGTATCTGGTTTGACGAGGTTTGACGCTATATTGTTTGTATTGATCGAATACCGCGAAACACTGTTTGGCACTCTTATTGTATTCATGCCAATAGCACTGCCCGCCATATGAAAAATAGAAGTTATCACTGTTGAGTCATCAGGACTATGTGATTGGTAGCTGGAGTCAAATCCGCCGTCCAACTCGGAAGTGGGACCACTTATTCGGTAAATCTTCGGGATTGTATCTGGACTGCAAACCACGGCACCAATGTCGCCTTTAATGGTTAAAGTAGATCCACATGTAAGCTACTTATCTTGCATTAGTCCAAGCCAGTGCACCGGATTACACCAAAGTCTCTAACTGAAATACTCTCCGCACGCTTTGAAATTCCCCGCATTGACTTTCTCGCGGCTCCACAGCCTAAGCTGGTTTTTCTTATGGTCTTCGGAGCTAAAGTTCCCTACATGCCGAAGCAGCTGGGCAACTTCAAGCAAATGAGCCAACCTCATGAACTGACGCATGGCGAGCTGGAAACCCCCGCCGTAGGGAGCAAAAGCGACAATAGCATGCAATTTGAACAAAGGAGGTTGATCCCCAGGATAGTTCAAGACTGCAGACGAGAAGGCCTATGGTGTGTGATCACCTTCGCGTACGCTAATGTTCCCACTGTGTCCGCGTTATCATTACAGAAAACCCAGGCAACTGGACAACAAATGCGTATCAGGGTCAACGCAAGTTGCAGCGCATGATTCAACAGCGCGGAGATATGCGGGGTGTGGGGCCCCGCGCCTGTGCTTCTAACGAATACCTAAGGAACATAGGATATTTCCCAAGTTGCCTAGACATGAATTGAGTTTCTTGGATTGTGAGGCAGACCTTGCCTCCAGCTCACGACCCAGGGAACATCCTCAAGCCCCTTTCATGGTGGACAGACGAAACTATAAAAGGGACCAGCTGGCGCCGATATGAAGCTCGTTTTCCAGAGCATCTCAAAAGTTCGCCGACATTCGGTCCCGACCAAATGGCCAGTATTTCTCAACTACTCTTGTCTGGTCTGCTGACCGCTACTGTGATCAATGGCCAGCAATATGACCCGCCTGCTCGAAGCTCGGATGCATTCTCCTACGTTCAGCCCCGTGACGCAACTATTCTCGGGCCTTACGGACATTCTCCCGCTGTTTTTCCATCGCGTAAGTCTCTGACTAATACCAGACCTATGCTGGATTGTCCTGACCAGGTTATAGCCAACGCTACCGGAGCTGGTGGCTGGCATGCAGCCTTCGTCAAGGCTCAGCGCTTTGTCGCTGAGTTGACGCTTGAGGAAAAAGCTGACATGGTCACTGGGCAGCCCGGCCCTTGTGTTGGGAATATAGTGGCAATTCCTCGACTCGGCTTTAACGGTCTCTGCTTGCAAGATGGCCCCTTAGGCATCCGCGTCGCGGACTATGCCAGCGTCTTCTCTGCTGGTGTAACAGCTGCATCAACGTGGGACAGGGACATTCTGTACGAGCGCGGTTTCGCTATGGGACAGGAGTTCAGAGCCAAAGGTGCCCATATCGCACTTTCACCTGTTGCTGGCCCCCTTGGACGCTCAGCATACGGGGGTAGAAACTGGGAGGGCTTTGCAGCAGACCCTTACCTGACCGGTATTGCTATGGAGCGAACCATCCAGGGCATTCAAGACGCAGGCGTTCAGGCTACTGCCAAGCATTACATCGGGAATGAGCAAGAAACCCAGCGTAACCCAAGCTACGACTACAGTGGCTCGACCCCGGAAATCAAGCAGGAAGCCATTTCCTCCAATATTGACGACCGAACTATGCACGAGCTATATCACTGGCCGTTCGCCAACGCCGTTCGCGCCAAGGTTGCTTCCGTCATGTGCTCCTATCAGCGCCTCAACGGCTCCTACGCCTGTCAGAACTCCAAGGCTCTCAATGGGCTGCTCAAGGAGGAGCTTGGCTTCCAGGGATATGTCATGTCCGACTGGGGGGGCACTCACTCCGGCGTCGCGTCTATCGACAGTGGTCTCGATATGGATATGCCAGGGGGTCTCGGTCCATACGGCCTGTACCGTGAGGAAGGCTCCTTCTTTGGCGAAAACGTGACTTTTGCTGTCAATAACGGAACTATTGATGAATCTCGCGTGGATGATATGATCGTTCGCATCATGGCCCCTTACTACTGGCTCGGTCAGGACAAAGACTTCCCCTCGGTTGACCCTTCAACCGTCCAGCTGAATACTTTTTCGCCACGGTCTACATGGCTTCGCGAGTTCAATGTCACCGGAGAGCCCAGTCGTGATGTCCGCGGGAACCATAGCGAGTTGATCCGCAGACATGCTGCAGAAGCCACCGTTCTACTCAAGAATGAGGGCAACGCATTGCCTTTGAAGGCGCCGAAGTCAATCGCTATTTTTGGCAACGATGCTGGCGAGGACACCATGGGTGCCTACAACGATCAGAATTTTGAGTATGGCACACTTGCCGTAGGTGGTGGCTCAGGAACTGGTCGCTTCACACATCTGATCTCACCGCTGGCGGCCCTCAATGCTCGTGCTAAGCAGGATAACGCTCTGGTCCAGTTTTGGTTGAACAACACCCACATCGCCAATTCAAATGTCACTGATCTTTGGATCCCTGCTCTGCCTGAAGCTTGTCTCGTCTTCCTCAAAACATGGGCAACCGAGGGTTCAGACCGGGAACATCTATCGGTGGACTATAACGGGAACGACGTCGTGAATTCGGTTGCAAAATTTTGCAACAATACGATCGTCATCACTCATTCCTCTGGTATTAACGAACTCCCCTTCGCACACCACCCTAACGTCACTGCCATCCTTGCGGCCCATTACCCTGGGGAAGAATCTGGCAATTCTATTGTCGATGTCCTTTATGGTGATGTCAATCCATCCGGGAGGCTGCCATACACGATCGCCAAAAGCGCCAGCGACTACAATGCCCCACCCACGACTGAGGTGACCACCACAGGTCGGTATGACTGGCAGTCATGGTTCAACGAGAAGCTTGAAATCGACTACCGTTACTTCGACGCCCGAAACATGTCAGTCCTTTACGAGTTTGGCTACGGCCTGTCTTACTCGACCTTCAGTATCTCCGACATCAAAGCCAAAGCCCTGGCCAAGTCCGTTTCCTCGGCACCAGAAGAGCGGCCCGTTCAGCCAGGGGGAAATCCTGCTCTTTGGGAGACCATCTACCACGTGTCAGTGTCGGTCACCAATACAGGCGATGTGGAGGGCGCGACGGTGCCGCAGCTCTATGTCACCTTCCCAGATAGTGTCCCTGGAACCCCACCCAAGCAGCTTCGAGGCTTCGACAAGGTTTTACTGGCTCCTGGCAAATCGCGCACTGTGAAATTTGAGCTGATGCGGAGGGACCTCAGCTACTGGGATGTGGTATCGCAGCAGTGGCTGATTCCGGAGGGCGAGTTTGTCATTGGTGTGGGGTTCAGTAGCAGGGATTTGAAGAAGGTTATCAGCATTAAGCCTGTGACAGCTTAGCGAGGCGTACATGCGCATTTTGATGTTGTTGACTGGCATACTGTTTGTATCTGCTCCATGTCAATAAGACGCCCGAGGAGGGGGGCTGCGGACGAGGAATTCAGATGTTATTATGTCAAAGATTACCGTGACCATGGATTTTTTGTACGCTATGGGTACAATGCTTGCACCCCAGTATAAGCTCTCGCGTTTCAAATGGCACAAAATCTCCTAAACGCCCTAATGAGACCTCAAGATACTATTGTACTTATCTGAGTAAGGGCTTTGTCCAATACCGACAGCATCTTCGGGAGTTATCTTTCTGTACCGCAAGGCATCGGTCCCAACATCAGGCATCAGTATTAGACCAGCTGCTTGTGCCATCGGGGACCTCTTTGTCTAATAGAGGAAGCCAAATGGATGAGCCAATAGAGTACCTTCAGGGAAGGTGAGAGCTTCATCCCCCCTTGCTCTGTTACATATCGGCGATTTAACTTATCTAGTGATTGTGTCGCTTCGGCCTGGGGCGTACTGAAAAGAGCAAGCATGAATACCGTGTCCTCTCCTGTCTCGCACGCGCTTTACTCTCTGTGCCAGCCACTGGTGCAGGTCTTGAGCGACTGTTCAAGTAGTGTTAGAGAGGTCAGCCACTATTGCCAGGGATCTCTCAACGAAAAGACAATTCAAGACGTAGTGATGCATATGTGTTCTCAAAAGCTTACTCTGAACAGTCAGCAAATCAGACGCCAGGAGAAAATACCGCCAGATGAGACAATCACATATACCCAAATAACGCTATTTATCATTTATTTGACATCATCATCATGTACTCACTCCGTGGACGCACCGCGGCTGAGCTACAAATACTTGCAACTGGGTGCATAATCAAACGATTTCTGTTTGCTAGAATCTGTTAACCCAGAAATATGTGTCCAAGAATACTATCAACTCTGACGACACCTTACTGTTTCCTAGCATCACTACCGAAGACATTCACCTGCCCTTCATACCATATGTATCCCCTCGAAAGACGCGCCCAGCATAAACAAGTGCCGCGACCTATAGCCACACGTTGCATGTATCCAAACAATTTCAAAGTCAGGTTAGCATGTGGGTTGGATCAAATCCCATGCGGACCTATCCAAACCCAACACACGATCAATCTACTGAACCATGAGAATCTGCCGGGTGGACCGGAATTGCAAAGTCGGGTTATCTATGCCCGGCAGCGATCTTAAGCCTCCTTTCTCCTCGACTTCCACGCCAAAAGTTTCTCGAGTCCAGTATCTCCGGGCATCCTTCGAGTAGACGCCCCCATTTGTGCAGGAATTGCACGCTCACTTCCCAACCTCGGGGGATCCCATGGCTGGCCCCAAGCAATTAAAGAAGGGCTCGGTTTCCCATCATTAGTCGACTTCATTTCAACCAGGTCATACCACAATTCGTCCTCGTCAACTACGTCATGGCAAACAGACGCCCAGAGAATACTGTCTCGCAGACGTGGGATAGGAAACAAGTCAATCCACGGGTGGTGGAGCACGTTGAGCTGCAGCGTAGTCGGGCGCAAGCCACGGGGCCAAGAGGGATTTTCAACAGGTTTGGGTTCAGGACCTATTCGTCCAAAAGGTGACAGAGAGTCACAAAGCAGCCATATCTCTGACAGGCCCAGGGCCGCAGCGTTCATGGCTAGAGACGTTGACGTGTATCACCGTCGGAAGATGGGTTAGGCACGGCGAAGACTTGACGTATCGAAGGTAGGCTTGATCGGCGAAGCGGGCAAGGATCTCCATCCGCTCAGGTGTGAGCAGACTATCAGCAGAGCTGTCCCTATTATTTTTATAGCCGCAATACCCATTTTGTTAGGGGTGAAGATGGCCACATACTCATGCAATTGATAATATGGCCTCGCAGAGTCCCAGCGATCCTATGATATCTCTTTTCCTCAATGAAGAAATCACTGAACTACGGGAGATTTTCATCGACTTCTTTCTATGGTAGAAAATGGAGGGAGATATTGACGGAGCAAAGGGCACAAGTTGCCCTTGTGTTAGTGATGATAATTAGTGACCACGATTCCATTTTTGGAACTGACGCGTTGGGGCGCCCTTCAGACAAAGAAGTGTTCATGGACAGAATACGCAACTTATAACGTGGAGTGGGGAAAAGTGGCCCAAATTCGTCAAAGGATGTGGGAAGATGTCACAACACCTGCCCATCAATCAACCAGCTCATCATGGCTTGCTACACCTCATACCCTTCGGCAATTACAAAAGCAAGCTTCCTCAGTTAAGAAGCTCCTGAAACAACGATCTCAAAGCCCTTCGACACCTTCAAAAGTAGCTATCCAGGAGCTTATCAAGGGTTGCGAGATGGCTATGCATAGTGCGGCCCTCCTAGCGAAGGAAAATCATGATCGATGCGCAGCCAATGAGAATGAGAAGCAGAAATCAAAGAGATCTAGACGCCAGATGACTCCTAATGAAGGACTCTGCATCCAGGAAGCTAGGGATCTGATCCAGGCAAGAACTGAGCAAGATGGGCGTTCATCCATTGACTCTGCACCTTTACCTTTAGAACCACCAAAACGCGCGCCACCAAGGTGTTCAAATCACTTTATTATAGGGCATACAAGAGTTAGATGCCCTACACATAATCCTAGCTAAATCTAATCAAATAATATTCTATTTTGGTTGATTTGGATAGCTTCGAATTGAACACGTTGAAATCGAATGGGAAAGTGGCGGCTCAGTCGGGTTGGCGGCTTGGTTGGGAGTTATGTTATAGGCCTAGGCTTTTACAGGATAAGCGCAAAGCCTGGGCAGCACATTCCACAGGACCCACTTCCCAGTGCTGGCAGTTCCACTTACAACCAGCGTCTGTCGGGAAAAGGTTCCCTAAAACTTTAGCATGATGTGAATTTCCGACAGCGGACAGATATAGCAAGAGTAGTATGACTGACTTGGCATGATTCACTGTCTAGCACCCAAATCAATGCCATCATAGCTTTCTCTAGTTATGCGCACAAAAGGCTCTGTGGTCATGTGGTAAAATAAATGAATTACAAATATCTCCATGGCGCTTTCTACTAATCAAGACTAACATTAAGCCATAGACATTCCCTTTCTTAGATTCTTGCTGTTATACTAATCAAAAATCATGTTGTAAGTTCCCTCCAACTAGATGTCACAGTAACATTGTAGTTCCATGAAAATAGAATGAAATAAGTTATATACCCTAGAGGCATTGAAATAGCACATGTAGTTAAGGTCAAGGAAAAACGTTTCTCTTTCTGTTTCATTATCTCCCAATATCCTATGATTTTCTGCGAGAGGATGGCCTTGCCTGACACATCTTTTGTTAATATCGCCTTAATCACTGAACTAAGGTCGACCTACTACGACCAAGGTTATTCAGAAGAAGAATGCGCAGCCCTACCACATAATAGTGAAGCTAATAAGGTTCTGACTTCCTTGCAAGAGTCAGGGCACCATATTATGCTAGTGCTAGGAATCTAAGCCCTTATTAAACACCTAGCGTGTGGCATAAATAAGGATTAGGACTGGTGTTTAACATTATATAAGGGTTTTATGGGCTAGCCAGAGAAGCCTAGGTCCTAGCACTGTCAGATACTTACTAGGTTCTATATACATTTTCCAACACTGCAATGATGGCCTTCTGCCAGAACAAGGTCTCTACTAAGGTATTATACCTAAAGGCTGGATTATTCCTTAAAAGCCTATAGATTAGCTAACTGATATATTAATACTTAGATTATCCTAGCTTATTATAAGATACCTACTGCCCTATTTTTAGTAATCTTATAGGAAGAATAGAAACTAAGCCTTAAGAGTCTTATGTCACACCCTGGGATCCGTCTCTGCTGTTTCCTGCTAGTCAACTACTTTGGGAATAAGGTGATATAGTCCCTGGACTTATATCTAATACTTACCTAAGGCCTACTAACCAGGTAGCCTAAGGATATAATAGTATAGTAATCTAAATAGGATTAAGAGTAACTAAAGGTAATATAAGAATAATAATAGTAGAGATAGAAGCAAGGCCTATTAAGTATATATACTTAATAGTATTAGAGTAACTAATAAATTAGACTAGTGAACTTATACTTAAGTAAATAGCTTGTATTAAATATAAGGAACTAACTAAGAGTGCTAGATATAATAATAATAAGTATCCTTATATAGTTTCTCCTTAACTATTATCTTAACTACCACCGCATGGTAGTTACCTGTTGTAGTTATATACTATCTACTATTACTAAGCCATAGTATATAGTAGTATATTATATAATATAGTAGCTGCACAGG